TTAATGCTTTATTATGTTTGCATATATGTTGGAAGCTGCTCAGAGTGGCTGAGGCAACCCAGTAAGACGTGCAGGGTTATAAATAGTAAAATTATCATTATGGAATGGGACATCCCTATTTTCATCAGAGCAGAAACGGAGGGTATGCAATATTATATTTTATTCTTCATGACTATGCGAGGCGTCTTCTCCATACGTGTCAACGCGATCTGCAAACATATAATAAAAACAGCTGAAAATAGTATTAGGATGGTAGTGATGAATTTTTGGCACGAGGTGACAAATTGCCGGGCAAACACAGGGTTTGCTTTGAATTGAACATCAGTGCGTGTGCTGAGAATAGGTGGATGTTAAGCATGACTCTTGTTTACAAACGGAGCAGGGTAAATTTTCAGGTTCGCATCCACGGCCTTTGAAACTGTGTGCAGGCTGGATGTGCCGTTTGATCACTGAAGCAAATTGTATTTGGTGGAGCGGAGTTCAGCTGAGGGCGGCGTGTGGGAGGCCAGCCGAATGCAAGGGCAATGCGGTGGGCAAATCAAGCCAGATCCAGTTTCCATCTGCCCCAAAATGTAAATAAATGAAATGTAAATATAGAAGTGTCAGCTGCGTGAAAATGCAAAGCCAGCATTCCACATTGTTCCCTGGTGTCACAGTACAAGCACTCTTCTGGCTACTGGCACTAAAATAATTAAAATCAAACCATAACGGTGACTTCTGATATTTACCATATTGGCCCGAATATAAGCTGCACATGAATATAAGCCGCACCTGTAAAATTGGAGGGGGGGGAGAGAAAAGAAAGAAAAAATACCCAAATATAAGCCGCTCCATTCCTTGCTGCTCCTGGCTGCATAATTGGGGGGGGGGGAGCTGTTCCCAGTCTTCGCTCTCTCCCTTCCTGGTCTTGGGGGAGAGGACGGGGGGCTATGCGTGGGGCAGGTGCCGCTTTGCCCCGCTCCTGGCGCTGTTTGCCCCGCGCTCCTGGCTGCACACCATAAGGTCATGAATGTAAGCTGCACTTTAACATTTCATGGTCAGAATTGGGGGGCGGGGTGAGGCTTACCGGTATATTTAGGCCAATACGGTACTATACAGTGCAAGCCTTGTGCAGAAGCTGGACATGAAGAGTCTGAGGGGGGAAAGAGAGAGTGCGACTGGTTAGTCTTCAAAATAACAGAAGAGGGTTTTTCATGTGACACGTTCTTCGTAAATCTGGGTCAAGACATTCTGCTGCCCCCAAGTGACAGCAGGACGTAATCTTGGTGTGCCAAGAGATCTCATTCTATCTATCTATCTATCTATCTATCTATCTATCTATCTATCTATCTATCATCTATCTATATCTCAGGCCTCCTTCTGTGGGGCCAACATTGTCACACTGATCCGTACAAAGGGCTTAGAGCGAGAATCTGATGCAGAGAAATTTCAAATTCAGGCTACGCCCTCTGATGTTGCCAGATAAAACACCGTGTTTGTACTAAACACACAGTGCTCCCATGCTCTTGCCAAACATTACCTAGTTAGCATGTGATTAAAAGTCACATGTTAAAATGGGAAATGAATGGTGCAGGTAGAATGAAGTACAGTGGTACCTCAGGTTATTCGTTCTGGAGGTCCGTACTTAACCTGAAACTGTTCTTAACCTGAAGCACCACTTTAGCTAATGAGGCCTCCCACTGTCGCCGCGCCACAGGAGCCCGATTTCTGTTCTCATCCTGAAGCAAAGTTCTTAAAACTATTTCTGGGTTAGCGGAGTCTTTAACCTGAAGCGTATGTAACCTGAGGTACCGCTGTATACTGCTGGCACCATAAATGACCAAATGTCTGATGATGGTGGTTTTAAGCTTATGTAGTGTACCCAACTTCACCCTGCTGCTTTGTGCAAATGTTTCACCATCCCTTCTTACATATCCAATCCCATGTTGCCAGGCAGAGGGAGGTAGAGCTTTTAGGGAGGAGAGGATATTTCCTTGCTCATTTTTGTCCATTTCAAAAGATGCAAAGTGAAATGGACAAAATTATTATCCTGCATCTCTCAACTCAGTGGAGATGAGTGTTGCATTGCTGGAGTAAGTGGAACACAGAGAATTCAAATAACTAAGTGCAGAATTCTGTTTTCTTTTGTTAAAAAAGAAGTGTGTGTGTGTGTGTGTGTGTGTGTGTGTGTGTGTTTGTGAAGGAAGAGAGTCCATTAAATGATGTGGGGGGCAGATGCAGGAATACTTCATACATTGCCTCATTAATTTATGGAACTCACTGCCTCAAGATGTGGCAATTGATAGCTATTAAATTTCCTTGCAACATTTAAAACCCGCTTTTCCCCAAACAGAAGGTGGAAGTACATCCATAAATAAAACAATTTCATATCAGATCTAAAATACACAGCATCGTAAAACGTTATGGAAATGTGGTTTTTTCATGCTTTTTATTAGTTTTCTTACTTGATAAACAAATACATACAATAAAGTAACAAAAATAATAAAATGACAACAATAAAAACAAAAAACAATACATAGAACCATAAATCTATAAATACTTACACACAGCATTATGTCACCATAATCTTTATTCCCAATTCCTTTTCTTCTCTGATAGATTTCTGTCTTCCTCAAAGCGGGTCTGTTTTGTCTATTTGTTAAACTGCTTCTTTTATCATTTCATCATTTCTACTGTTTTCCATATTATTCTACTTATAATCCATATTATGGTTTGCAAAAATTAATCAAAGCAAATCCAGGTTTTGACTTGGGTGCACTGTTTCTTTTTTAAAGTAATCTCTATAAATTTCCCATTACTTTTGGAACTTTTGGTTAGGGTGTCTCCTAATTTTCTCCATCATTTTTGCCAATTTGAGATATTCAAATAATTTACCCTTACATTCCTTTTTTGTTGGTACTAATTCACTTTTCCAGTTTCTAGCTATTAACATTCTTGCTGCAGATGTAGCATATAAGAATATTCTCTTTTTTTATTTGGGATATCTGAATCTAAATTATCTAGATAAATGGAAATGTAACCAGAACAACATTGTGCAGAAGGAACATGTATTGCCACAACCCCATCCTTCCCCGCAGGGCAAAAATGTGTGTTTTTATCTGCTGACGAAAAAGCATAAAATGTCAGTGTGAGGCACACCTTGACAGGGAGAGCATTCCATAGACTGGGGGCAGCCACAGAGAAGGCCCTGTCATGCACTCCCCCTAACCCCAAACTTCATTTGGTGGTAGGATTGCATGTAGGGTCTCCCCTGCTTATCTTAATACATGGGCAGGCTGATACGGTCTCACTTTCATTGGTACTTACCGGTATTTCCAGGCAAACTGATTCAGTATTGTAGCCGAAGTTTTTGTTTTTAAAGACTTACAAATTGGACCTGCAACATATTTAAAGCACATGTCTTTCCCCCAAAGAATCCTGAGGACTGTAGGTGCTGGGAACTGTAGTTCTGTGAGGTGTAAACGAGAGTTCCTAGGATTATTTGGAGGAAGTTGTTCATTTAAAAGGCATGCACCTGCAGTGTGGCTTCTGTTTAGCCAGCCATGCCTCTTAATGGCACTCCATTCCCCCACCTGTCAGCCAGCATACCAGGTCCTCACTGGCCTGGAAACCTCAGAGGGATGTAAATAGTGACATTTGAGGGGCAGCTTTATACATATTCATTTTTGTTCTATCTATAAATTCCTGATATTTTACTTTTATTTAATATTTTGAACACAGCTTCTCAAAGCTTAGACTTATAAAAACTTACATAAGCTCAACAATGCTGCAAAAGAGACCAGTTGGCTTATCAACTCTTATCAACTGAACATCCCCAAGCATCAACACTTGAGGAATTGGTGACAAAATTTGCAAAGGAAAACACACACTAAGTGAGATTTTGATGTGCCTGAACTTGAAACTTTTAAGAGACTTTTATTTGAACACCAGAATTCACAAGGTTATCCAAAATCATTTTGGGTGCTAAAAATGTTTTCTTTTGTATTTGAGAAAGATAATCAAAGAGGGTTATATTACTTGCTCTTGCCATTTAAAATAAATTTAGCAGTTCCAAGTTTTATGCTTTTCATTTTTTTCCTACATCCGATCTCGAAAACTGAAACTAGCATTAAGATAAATTCAACAGTGTAAATAAGTTTTGATGGCGTTAACAATGGATTACTGAATGGTTTAGTTCATGTAAAATATGCAGGGATGTATGGTATGCAGAATGAACCACGGAAAGAGAAGAAGAGATAATTGAATTAAGGTTGTTTAAATGAATAGCAATTTTGGGTGTGTGTATGAGAGCTTATTAAAGCTATGGTTTCCCCAGCAGTGATGTATGGAAGTGAGAGCTGGACCATAAAGAAGGCTGATCGCCGAAGAATTGATGCTTTTGAATTATGGTGCTGGAGGAGACTCTTGAGAGTCCCATGGACTGCAAGAAGATCAAACCTATCCATTCTGAAGGAAATCAGCCCTGAGTGCTCACTGGAAGGACAGATCGTGAAGCTGAGACTCCAATACTTTGGCCATCTCATGGAAAGAGAAGACTCCCTAGAAAAGACCCTGACGCTGGGAAAGATTGAGGGCACAAGGAGAAGGGGACGACAGAGGACGAGATGGTTGGACAGTGTTCTCGAAGATACAAACATGAGTTTGACCAAACTGCGGGAGCCAGTGGAAGACAGGAGGTCCTGGCGTGTCTGGTCCATGGGGTCACGAAGAGTCGGACACGACTAACGACTAACAACAACATGAGAGCAAGTAGTTAGCCTTGCCTAGGGCGCAAAAAAGCCTGGCACCTCCCTCTTGCAGGCGTGAGCGGCGGATGGTGCCCTTTGGGGAACGCAATAAGGAGCAAGCGTCCTGATACCCAGCGGGGCACAGAGCCTTAGGATGGGTCCTTCTCTCTTTAAGAAAAGAAAATTAGTCGCAGCTCCCTCGGTCTCCCCACCACCTCTGTCCTTCAAAGCGCAACGCAGGGGCGGAGACGTCCTGCTCAGCCCTGCCCTCCTCCGAGGCGGAGCTAAGGCGCGATGCCGCCCCCCCCCGGTGCTCCAGCCTGACTGCGCCGGCTCCGAGCCACCCGACCCGGCTGCTCCTTCTCCGGCCTGCCCTTGGGAAGCTCCTTGCGGGTAACGAACTCGCGGCCCCGGGATCCCCCCGACGTCGCCTTGCCAGACCCGGCGGCCTCAGGATCTGGGGCTGCGAGTCTGCGACGCCCGCCCTTTCCTTGCGCGCGTTTTAGGATTGCTTCCCCCCCCCCGGCTGCACGCCTTCCGATCTCTTCTGGATCCCCGCCGTTTGGTGTCCATAGCGGCGTCTGGTCCGGAGTAAGCGCCCCACAGTTCAGTCTGCTGCTCCAGGGGCTCCTTGCAGACACGCTCTCCCGCAGCCCACTCGTGGTTTCCGATACGTTTGCTCGGGAGTAAGCCCCACCGTGATCCGTAGGGCTCACTCCTGAATCGGCCGCCTCTCTTTACGCAGCCATCTGCCGCACGCTTGCTTGGGAGTAAGTCCCACTGGGGGTGTGCAGGATCACAGCCTTCCATTGACCCGGGGGTCAGCAGGTAGAGTGAAAGGGAAGCATGGGTTTCTCTGAAGGACCTCCAGGTCATGTTGGACTCCAAGTCCCAATAGCCCCTCCTTAGCGTGGCCAGTGGTGTGGGATGCTGGGAGTTGTAGTCCAGCAACATCTGGAAAGCTGCAGGTCCCCTGTCCTTCCACTAGGGGGTGGTATTAATTGCGGTTTAATCCATCCAAGCTACAGTTAAAACTGAGCAAAGGACAAGCTTCCACCACTGTTTGATCAAACTCTGCTTAAAGATTATATATACCAAAGTGTGGTTAGAGTTCCCATTCTCTGCCTTATATGGAGCCAGATGATTGGCAGGAACACACTTGGTACCGACTATGCTGAGTAAGTTCCCTTGAATAAAATTGGGGCTTACTTCTGAGGAGACATATATAGAATTGCCACCCTGAAACCTCTCAAATGTGACTGGGTTAGCACACAGCAAACCAGGGCACTTATTTCACAGGGTTTTGTGAGAAACTGTTCAGACCACACGAAAACCTAGTTCTCAGGAACAAGTGGAGTACAGTCAAACTTCGGTTCCCAAACGGCTCTGTTTTGGAACGTTTCGGCTCTTGAATGCCAAAAACCTGGAAGTAAATGATCTGGTTTTTGAACGTTTTCCAGAAGCCGAACGTCCGACGCAGCTTCTGCTTGAGTACAGGAACTGATACGTTTGACAACCGAGGTTTGACTGAAGCAAAATGTGTGCATCTGGTCTGTACTAGGCCACATTCACACCATACTTTTAAAACACTATGGTGCCACTTGAAACAGTCTTGGCCTCCCCCAAAGAATTCTGGGGAATGTGGATTGCTAAGGGCACTGACAGTTGTTAGGAAGCCTCTACTCCCCTCAGCTATATTTCTCAGTCTAGTTTAACAAGCAATCCCACTGCACAGGGAGCTCTGGGAATTGTAGCTCTGCAAGGGGAATAGGGGTCCCCTAACAACACTCCACATCTTTCAACAAACTGCGGCTGGAAAAACCCTTCACTTAAAAACAAAGCCAAACCACCCCCTATACACAGAGAAACAGCCTGATGCTTCTCCCTAACATGCTAGCTTTCTGTGTACGGGGATTTTGTTTTAATTTTGTGCAGAGACGAGCAGTCAAACACTTCATTCCCCTTCTTTCTCTCTCTCCACCCCACTGACATCCTGAAGTGCTCCTGTCTGGACACAGGTTTCCACGTCATTCTGAAGTGGGGACCCTCTTGCATCTGGGGGACTCCCTGAGCATTTTGGAGAGAAAGTAGATAGCAGTATCCTATCACTTTAAGCAGCCATGACCCCCCCCAATAATCCTGGGGACTATAGTTTGTCAAAGGTGCTGAGAATTATCAGGAGACTCCTATTCCCCTTAAAAAAGGTAAAGGTACCCCTGCCCGTATGGGCCAGTCTTGCCAGACTCTAGGGTTGTGCGCTCATCTCACTCTATAGGCCGGGAGCCAGCGCTGTCCGCAGACACTTCCGGGTCACGTGGCCAGCGTGACAAAGCTGCATCTGGCGAGCCAGCGCAGCACACGGAACGCCGTTTACCTTCCCGCTGGTAAGCGGTCCCTATTTATCTACTTGCACCCGGGGGTGCTTTCGAACTGCTAGGTTGGCAGGCGCTGGGACCGAACGACGGGAGCGCACCCCGCCGCGGGGATTCGAACCGCTGACCTTGCGATCGGCAAGTCCTAGGCACTGAGGTTTTACTGAGGTTTTACCCACAGCACCACCCCCTTACAGAGCTGCAATTCCCAGAATGGTTCAACAGTCAATCCATTTCCCAGAGTAGTGGAAAGGTCCCTGGCTTAGTGAGAGAGCATCTTCTTTTTTCCAGGTTCAATCTTCCACATCTCCAGTTAGAGCTGGGAAAACAATTCCTGTCTGAAAGCCTGGAGAGTTATTCAAAAGGATGGCTGGTTTCAGTTTGTATGTTGTTTCAGAAAGTGCAACTTACCTATCTTTTAAATGCAAACTCAAATCTAATTTCTCCCCTACCATCCCTAATTGTACCGTTAACACTTTCACCCCCAAGTTCAGCAGCGGACATTTAACAAAGCTGCCCCTTCTCTCTCCTTCATCCAACTTACTGGTCTTTGAAATTATTTTCCCAGGGCGAACATTGGCCCAGGGCGAACATTGGAACCAGCAACACCCCCCATAGCCCTGTTTAGCCTGGTGGCATTTTTCAGCAGTTATGCCAGGCAGCCTAAACCATCATGTCTCCCGGGTAAGGACTTTGTACAAGAAGATCCTGCAGTTGCACCGAGCGTTGCCACTGGAGTTGAAGACCCTGGGAGACCAGTATGTGAAAGATGAGTTCAGGAGACACAGATCTGTTGGTCCGGAAGAGGCTCAATGCTTCCTGCGGGAATGGGAGGCAAGTATCTTTTCATCTTCTGCTGCCCTGCTTCAGTTTATGGGGATGTGATTAGGGTCTGTCTTACTCACTGTACATGTATATCTTATCGGCCTTTTTTCACACATAAAGTTAAGACAAACCATGGTTTAGTGTGAATGCTTAAACATGCAGGCTCCCACAGAGGAGGTTGCACTTGTTTTGCTACCCCGGCAGTCCTTTTAGCAAGCTGTGATGTTGCAGCTAAGCCAAGGCCCAGCTTAGTTCATCATCTGAACACACTCATTGTTAAGCACTCTCCTCTTTAACCACGAGCTGTAGACAAAGCTTACTGTGTCATGTGAACCAGGCCAGTGTCTGCTGGCCTTTTGAATACTCCTGTGTTAGAAGTGCATCTGCTGACATTATTATTTATCTACACTTTAGGTGTTGTTTTGCCAATGAACTGCAGATTCCTTAAAGGATATTTGGTAGTCAATATAGGAGGGAAAATATATTTTTATTTGAACGGACTAGGAAAACCTCTTCCAGCAGCAGCAACAACAAAAAACTCTCAAACAGTAAACCACCTTACAATGATAAATAACTCCAAAGGAACAATTCCAAATAAACTATTTCCTCCACCAGACCTTCACCAACATACAACACCAGATCCAGCCATAGACAGCCTCAACAGCATTTGATCCATCATCTTCTTCCTACTTGACCACATTGTCCTGCACTATTTGTACCTGCCTCAACCAGGTGGGGCTGGATGTCTCCACAGCCGCTACCTGTGTTGATTAGGGCTCCTAATCTGGGCAGTCAAACCCCAGCTGGGCCACCCTCAAGGGTAGGAGTGCTCCTGCAAGGACTCACAGGAAGGGTTGGGCTGCGTAAGGCCAAACCTACACCTCTTTGATTTTTTCCCTTCTGTGTTTTCCACTACAGGTGTGCAGAAAGCTATAGAACAACTATTCATTTTCAGACACGTCACTACTAAAGACGCGAAGTCCTGGAAAGAAACCCAGAAAAATAAGGGAAAACTAGTCGTCCCCCCCCCAATTTCTCCTTCACATTTTTAGTCACGGCTTATCCTGTTGAACTTATACAGGGCCAACTAGGGAGTTTATGGCGGTGGGTGAGATTTGAACTCAGATCTCCAAGCCCAGTGCTTTGTTTCCTTTGGTTTTGCCATATGAATGTTAGAGGTTTCTAGCAGTGTTGGAAACTGAGATATGAAAGCTAGGAGCTAAATGGCACCTTAAACCTAGGTTATGGGTGCAACAACAGAATGTCTAGGCGTGCTTTTTTTATAACGAGAATACAAAGCTGAAAAGGAATGAACTGCAGCTAAAATATTATGTTCATTTTTCACATGGTCTAGTCCTTCCCCTGCCCACCCACTTAATATTCTTAAGAGCGTCTCTTCTCCAGTCTTCAGAGTGTAGCTGGAAGTGGGGAGGCAGAAAAAGGTCCTCCTTTCCTTCCACTCTGCAGTTTTAATCTGAAAACTTAGGCGCAGTACTGCGCCCAGAGCTCAGAAACTGCTTGTGCTAATGAAATTCCCTGTCACAAAATGCGTCTAGAACAATGGGAGTTTCGAACACTGCTCTCTAGCCAAGCAAGCAAAGGACATTTTTATAGTTCAAAGACACATTCTGGCTAGGCAAAAACACACACAGAGGGCACAAAGCATTGCATACCCTTCCTCCCAGCCTTGATTTTTTTGGTGTGTGGTTGTTTTTAGCTTTGAAATAGCAGGGAGTCTTGGTTAGCAGGCTAATTTTTTATGTTTTCAGGCTTGCTTTCAGATTAATGGGTCCTATCTTGAAAGCCACAGGGAAGTATTCATGCCAGAGGGAGGTGTACAAACAAAGTATTGTTTGTTTATGAGGAAATACTGCTCTTCAGGTAGATCCAATCAGCGGCATCTATTATTAGCACATCCTTCTTCCGATATAATACATGCTTACTTTTTAATTAAAATAATTGGCACTCTTTACAAAGAGGCAGTTGGCATGCGTGACTTGATCGTGGCTATTACCCAAGAGTGTTATTGAATTAACGTTGATAAGACATATAGCCCATAAGTCATGCAAAGCCCTGTGTGTGATAACTGTGTTTTGTTGAGAAAAATGATAACGATTAAAGGTAATACTTAATTCTCTATGGTTCTGATTTATCGTGACAAGAGATGAACACAGGCAAGACTTGGAGTTATGCGCTTCCCCTTCCCCCCATTTTTCTGGCATGGCCACTTTTGCTTCCATTTTTGACCAGCCCGGTTTAGCATTGCTTTTGATCCCTAGATTGTGGCTGGTTGTTAAGTGTGGTTCATGAACCATAGCTTGGCAGATTTGAAAGACATTGCTAACCGTGGTTAATAAAAAGAATGCAAGTGGAAGGCGCCATCCTGGAGGAGGGGAAAGCACTTGAACCCAAGGATCACTCCCATCACATGGAGAGAGGGGGAACCAAACCCAGGTGTGGGGAACCTCTCTTCTGAAGACAGATGTGCCCCTTCAAGGCTTCTTGTTCAGCTTCCAGGTACAGTCGCACCTTGGATCCCGAATGCCCTGGAACTCGGATGTTTTGGCTCCCGAACGCCGCAAACCCAGAAGTGAGTGTTCCAGTTTGCGAACGTTCTTTTGGAACTTGAAGGTCCAACAGGGCTTCTGTGGCTTCCTGCAGCCAATCAGAAGCCGTGATTGGGTTTTCAGACGTTTTAGAAGTCGAACAGACTTCCGGAACGGATTCCATTTGGCTTCCAAGGTACTACTGTACTCTCCCTTGGCCTCTCCTTAGGCAGCAAGGAAAGGTAGCAAATTGCAGCTCCTAGGTCATTGGTCCCCCCCCCTTAGGTATTTTTTGTTTCTATTTTGTATTTTTGTGCTTGTCCCATGGCTGAGATCTACAGATGAAGTGTGGTAGCATACAAATTTAATAAAGAAATGATAATAATTCTCCCCTCCTGCTGCGGTCCTGATCCAGGTGATCCATTGGTATTTATATGACAATGCAAATTGCAGGTGTGATCCAGATTGGTAGTATATTTTGTGGGGGGGGGGAGTTAATGCCTCATCACACACACACACAGCTGCTGCCACCAGAGTTTCCTGATCCAGACAGGGCCTCCAGCACCTGCTGTCTGTGTTAGGCAAAAACCTTCCAGCTGCAGAAATTGAGAGGTTCCCCGCACACCCATTGTAAATTGCAGTGGGCTGTGTGTAAGTGTTAGAAATGAAATTAATAAATAGATTAATTGTGTATGAGGGAGAGAGGAATGCCTGCTGGATCATGCCCACCTAGTCCAGGTTCCTGTTTAACGCAGTGGTCTGCCAGAGGCCTGGAGGAAACTTGCAGGCAGGACCTGAGGGCAACATCTGTCTCCACACTAGCAGCTGGTATTTAGTTAAAATGGGAAGGGTGTGATCCTAAGTATGCTTACTCAGAAGCAAGTCCCATGTAGGCCAATGGGTTTTATTTCCTAGTAAGTATGCTTAAAACAGCAGCTGAATGTGCACCACCATTTTGAAGTTCAAAGGGGAGATTGTGCGGTTGTTGCTATAGTGATCTGCCCCGGCTTGATTTCTGAGTCAACATTTCTTCATCTGTGCAAGCCTTTACAGCAGGGATGGCCAAACTCGGCCCTCCAGCTGCTTTGGGACTACAACTCCCATCACCCCTAGCTAACAGGCCCAGTGGTCAGGGATGATGGGAATTGTAGTCCCAAAACAGCTGGAGGGCTAAGTTTGGCCATCACTGCTTTACAGGGTAAGAAAGTAGATTGCTTTTTTTGCTTGCATACTTTTGTTTCTTACCACTCCAAGCTGAAAATTCAATTGTTTTGCAGAAAAAGGACACTATGTAAGATAGAGTTGGCTAAAGTAGGCATGATGCAAAAGTGAGTGTACTGCCTGGAATTCTGTAGCTAGAACCTCAACTTACATATTTAATAGAAATTATGCTGACTGGTCCATTGGTCCATGTGCATCCATATAAGTTCCTTGCATTATTTCCTTTGCAAAAGGAACTGGGAGTTACTTAATATACTCCAGGATTTGTGCTGAGTGAAGAAATACCAGCCCCACTAAAGGCAAGAAGCATTGCTCAGGTTTCCTTCTGTTTCTAAGAATTTCATGAAACTGGACACATATTTCCGTGGTTTTCTATGAAACAATACGTTATACAATCCCCACCTTTTAAAATAGGCTCAGATCTCTTGTCGTGGAGGCTATCTTTAGGCACTTTATTGTACACCTACAAGTTGTAATTATGTTATTCTTACTCTCTTACTCAGCATTAAATGCTGGAAATGAGAATACTTTATTTGTTTCTGGATCATAGGTAGGCCCAAGAGAGGTTCCTGAAGGGGGGAAAAAGGGAGGCATTACATCGGCGGATGGAGTATCTGACAAGATAGCAGGGGGAAACCAATGTCGTACCCTCCAAATGTTGTGGACTACAATTCCCATCATCCTTGTCCAGTGGCCATTCAAGCTGAGATGTTGGGAGTTGGAGTCCAGCAACATCTGTGTGCCTTCTCACATTGGCTTCCCCTGCCATTGAGGCTATCAGTCATCATGCTATATGGCAGTAGTCTTCAACTTTTTCAGATCCAGGACTTGCCTTTGACTCAGAGATGAATTTGGGAAGCCACTGCTTAACTATTATTAGTACCATATCTATATGAATAGTTGTAGTGCTGCTATTGCAACGAGGCTGTGACACCCAAGTAAGTAGATCCTAACCCACCTGTCGAAGGTCAGTGTTTGCTGCGCTGCAAACCCCAGCACCCCTGACCATTAGCTAATCTGGTTAGGGATTATGGGAGTTGTAGTCGAATAACATCTGAGGTCCCAAGGTTGAAGAGCCCAGGGCGTCAAAGCAAGGGAGCAAAACACTGGAAAGGCATGGGAGTAATTTTTCTTGTGGTCCTGGTCCGGGAGTGACCACTTTCTGTTTCCTTAGACCAGGGTTTCCCAAACTTAGGTCTCCAGCTAGTCCAAAAACAGCTGGAGACCCAAGTTTGGGAAGCC